AAATAAACAACTATTTGAAATTCTTCTTTTTGCAAAGATTGAAGTGGAATATTCTTGAATTAAAAGCATTAAAAAAATTCCTTTTTTATTTCATTTTCTAATCGAAATATTATCTGATGAAAAAAATTCTAAATGAAACGCTCATCCGTTTAACAATTAGTTTCAAAAAAAAATAAAAATTCAAAGGACGTGCAAAAATTTTGAAATATTTTTGAATATTGAATGACACATATTTCAAATTCAACAAACTATATCAGGAAGAGAAAGTTAGTATCCATTTACATGCCGAGTGATGAAAGTTTGAATTCAATCAGTCGGTTTTTCTCATCCCTAATTTTTTTCTTTTTTATAATTTTTATTAGTTTTTTATACTTTTATTTGGAAAAGCCAAGGGAACATTATTTACGTCAAATAGCGGAAGAGATAGTATGGTAAGCCTTTGTAGGTGCGACATTTGCGCTCCAACTTTGCTCCATGTTACTCTTGTCTGTCTATTTCTTTCGTAATCATTACTTTTCATCGTACTAATATCAAATAAAGCGAAATTCTTCACGTTTGAAACTGAATAATAATATTTAAATGTTAAAGAAAGAAATTAACAATGAAAAGTGAAAATCATGAAGAGAAGAAAACCGAAATATACACTGAATTAAGTGTTTGTCATGCAAAGAATTTATGAAATTCGAGAAATAATCACTTTCTTCATGGTGAAATAAAAATAGCAAAGTACATTAAATGCAAAGTAAATAAGCTTGAAAATGTTTAAATTCGTTTTAGAAAAAAACGGATTTTTTGATGGTCAAAGAAATAAGTAGAAATGGGAATTTAAGTCCCAAGCAGAGATAATAGAAGATAAATTTGTCAAATTTCTTGTTTTTTTTCAGAAAATCCACCTGATATGTCGTCTTTTTTTGTTGTTCTTTGAAAATCCAACCTGAGAGCGCGGAAATTGAAGAAAAATTATCGCAAATTGTTGATTTGATGCAAATGGCATCAAATTAGGCAAATTTTTTTCAGGAATAACAAGGCTAATTAATTTGGAATGTGGAATACATGCAGCACGGGCTCGAGATGAAAATTAAATTTTTGAATTGATGACTTCAAAAGATTTAAAGAAAAAAGAAGCAAAATTTGTTCAGAAACACTATTGTAATTGAGTTGCTAAATTGAAAATTCACCTAATTTCATTAATCGATCAATTATTTTTGACATGTATATATTAATCATACAAATTCAGTATAAATGACATGTTGCAGCAAAGGAATCTTTTTTCGTTCGAAAATGAAATTTAAATGAATTTATATTTAAAATGAAAAAATTCTAATAATATTTGCAAGCAATAAACAACTCTTTTTCTCCTCCAGTTTTCCTCTGTTTTTCTCCGCTTCTCTATCCTTATTTCTTTTCTCTCTTTCTCTCTCCTTCTTTCTCGATGTAAATCATATCTCTCCAAGTCCGAGAGCGAAAAAGAAAAGTCTTTGAAATATGAAAAATTGAGAAATGCCTTTCTAAATTTGTCAGTGAGATGTACACATCAATTTGCATGATGTGAGCATTTATCGTAAGTGATCTCATCTTTTCTATCCTTGAAATGTGATTGCGAAAAAGAATCACAGAAGAAACGACAATGTCGGCAAATGTGACTGACACTTTCGAAACAAAATTTTTTAAAGCGTAGGATCAATAAGAATCTCCTAAAAGGAAACATAATGAGAGGTCAAGAAAGGGTATCGAATTACCACTGATGGATCACGATCATCGCATGTTGCATTAAAGTCATGTCGAAATTCTCGAAAAGATTATAGTAAAAGAAGAAGTGAATATGGTATACGATACTAATACAATCAGTGGTCAAGTGGTCAATTTGAAAGGTCTTATTATGGGATATTGCTTTTATAGAACGGAAAGGAAACAATTAATGAATGGTAAGAAAATATGATGATAATGCAAATTTTGATTAGAAATATATTCAAAAGACATTTAAAGAGTTCGAGAGAATTACTGAAATAGTAATCGAGAAATATTGAATGAGGGAAAAATAAATGATTAAATAACAAATAGTATGGGAAGTAAAAAAAAAAAAAAATTGTTGGAAAAGAAGGAGAGTTGGAAGGGAAGAGCGTGTGTGGGCGGTTTTTAGAAGAATGAGTGGGAATTTGGAACGAATTTCTGTACAATTGCTTAAATTAAATAAAAAACGTTGTTTGTTGTGCATTTGCATATGGGATACATTTGCCGAAGCAAACAGTTTTGTACAAATTTTCTTCTATTCCAACGCTTCCGTTCCATTTTTGATCCTTTTCTCCTTCTTTCAATAGCTCCTCATTTGCATGCTTTCGAAATTTTACAATTTTGAAATGATTTTGCGCATTCCAAGAATGAATTACAATGATAATTTTATTCCATTAACTTGAATTTTTTTAAAAATATTTGCTTATCGAAAGAATGAAACATGACATACGGCTGAATCTCGACATTGCATGATTAGCTCTTTGAAGTTATCAATCTTCATCGCACTTTCAGTAAGGTAACGAAAAAAATGGAAAATTCAAAATTTCTTTGAGTTTGATCTAGAGTTATCTATTCCACACCGCAAACTCGTATTTTAATCAATTGAATTGAGTAATTTAATGCAAATGTGAATTATGGTAGTTTCCTTTGAATTCATTTCCAAATTTCTTTGAGCACTGAATTAAGAACTCCAAAGCAATGCTTGTATCTCTATTTTAACATGAATGGAAATTCTGTTCTTTTTTGTTGAAAATGTATGCCACATTCATGTAAAGAAATGAAATCAGAATTATGATAAATTTCAATCAAATTATAGAATTGATGATTTTTCAATTTAAAAGTAAAAAAGAAATTCAACAAATAATGTTGTTGAATTTCTCAAAAACGCTGAAACATTTACAAAATTTCTTAATCAATAAGAATTCCAAAAAAATTACGGTATTACATAGTCCTCAATTTACACAATATTCTGGTTGTATGAGCTTGATCCAACTAATGACTTTCTACTTCCTTGAAACCTTCTCGATTGGCTTTTTCGTACATTCGAGGTAAAGGTATTGTTCAATTAAAATAATCTTTGCCCTTGTCACCTATTGTCACATTTATTCGCCTAACTAATGCTGGTAATATTTCTCTTTGTTTGTAGAATTTATTTTTACCTAACCTTGAACACTCGTCATTTTACTTCTAAAAATACATTATTCCTCTGCAATATACACAAAGTAGAAATTGCTCGATTACAATTCAATATATAAATTCAGGAATACAACACATACGATTACAAAATTACAATTTATCTAAATCTATAAAGAAGAATTGCAAAATTATGTCTGACTAATATGAATTGATTACGATATGACAGCAATAAAAGTTTTAAATTATTAGAAAAAAATTTTTTAAAATTTAGGAGATTTTTTTAAAAAATCTCAAATAGTGAATGGTCAGAAAAAAAATTATAAACGTAAGCATTTCATCTTGTTCACATTCACTCCATTTAATAAGAAACTGAAATATAGCAATTAATCTTCAATCTGACATTCACAATAGTAAATCTTTTGGTGAAAATTGCACTTTCTTTTTCAAAAGAAAAAGGTTGGATGAAAAAGAGAGTGATAGAGAGAAAGAGAAAGAGGAAGGAAAGGAAAATTGGATTTTATTTTGTTAGTGAAATGCTTGAAGAAAATGATAATTATGAGCATAAATCATTAATAATTGCGTTTTGTACTTGCGAAGCGACCAATTGGTGTCCACTCTTTTCAATTAGCTTTTCATTATAAAAACATCTGCGCACTCCGACTGATTCCTTTTCACTTTTTCTTTTTTTTTTTTTATAACTATCGCATATTTCTATATGCAGAAATAGCCTGAAACATTTATATCCGAAGGCAATTTTTATCATCTACTAATTACTGAAAACAATTCGAAACTCATTTGTAAATATTGAATTTATTGCATTAATTTTTTTACTCATTTCGGCTTTCCTTTATATCTCAAATAAATTTAGCATTTCATTACTCATTATGATTTCATTATTTATCCATTCAATTGAATCACAACACCCATCACTCACACTGATTGATCGTTTGGACAATTTGAGACCATAATGATTTTCGATCCATCAGCATTTTTCATTTATCAAAAATTCATCTTTGACTTTCTTTTAAAATTTAAAAGAATTCTGTCTCAAACTAAAATATTCTATCTCAGTTGAAGAAATATTCATGAATTGGATTATCGATAATTTTGATCTCCTTGTCTCCTTGCATTCACAGGATATGATTGATTACTTTACATGAAATGATATGCTTTTGCCAGTCTCATTATTGTAGTAATAAAAGTTATTAGAGTATTAAAAATTTGATCGGTATTAGAAAAACTTTAATAAATTTCATACTTCATCGAATTTTGTTTCCATATTGCCAACTAACTTAAAATATTAGAAAAGGAAAATTTGTCATGATCGTATAATTAGGCAATGATTTCATTGCTGATGCTTAATGTGGAAATAAAGACCTGAATAAAGTAAAATTAGGAAAGAAAATAAACTTGAAGTTATGTTTTAGCTAATTCTTATATTTTATTTGTATTCAAAGATTTCAGAAAAAAAGATGTAATCTTCAATTGCTATAAGTCTATTTTTTTCCTAGGAATATTATACTACACCTATAAGTTTTAGTCAGCAAAAATATGACATCAAGCAGAGGAAAGCAAATTCTGAAACTTCACTGCATACATTATGAATATATTGCTTGCATTCAGAAATTTTGGACAAAAATGTGTTTTTCTTCAATGGTTAGAAAATGCAATGCTAAATGATAGCAATGTTGATTGATTTTCATTTTCCGATGAGCAGATCTATTGCACACACTGCAATTTATTAATTACAATATTTGTAAGGATTGTATCCTTGTGTTTAAAAATAATAAAGAAGAAAGGAAGAAAAATTCGAATCGCTTCGGATTTTCATTTTCTTATGACAAAAATGAGAGTTATCCGGATTGGGCTAACTGTTCCACGGAATGAAATATTGACCGATGTCTGTTTCGCTGTGCGATATTTGTGATCGCATTTTCAAGAATTCTTGCTTTTCTTCCTGCTTCATCCATACGCTTAGCTGTCCTTTTTAGAGTTTTTTTCGTTATTGTTGCTGGTAATGCAACACAAAATGCGTCAGATGATGAACTAAAAAAATAAGAGAAAAAAAACTTACGTTGGGCTTACTATTTTTCGATCCTTAATTTCATATTAATTCCACGAAGTAATTGATTGATTTAATAGTAGATGAATAATCAAAGATAAACTGGTCAATTTCTAGGAATTATGAGAAATTAATCATTTCTTATTTTCCTCTTAAATTTGTAGTTTATATTAATTAAATATAAAATCTGCAACTTACTTGCTTTTGATCGACAGTGAACGCAACGGAGTGATCGACTGATGCGAAGAAGCAGCTTTTCGTAAAGCTGTCAGTGTTGTGACTGAAATATTGGACGATTCCGAAATTACTGAATTCACGGTTTGGTGCTTTGGTTATGAGCATCAGACATATTTGGATAGTTTTCGTATTTTTGAACTTTTTGTTTTGGTTCAGGAATCATCTGAATGTGACAGTCTCTAAATCACAGGAAATTTTATCAAATAATTTGATAATCGAACTGCTAACCAATGTATGTTTAAAAATTAACATTTTCAAATTTCACATCCAATTTCTCCAGACTGAAATCTGCTGCTTAATTTTGAAGATTCAACAATAATTTTAAATAATAAAAGTGATTTATTATTTAATTACGGATGTTCATGCGATCAGGAAGTTTGATTAAATCATTTCCAATTTCGAAAAAGCAATTTTATCAAAATCATAAAATGCTATTGGGAAAAATTTGAATAATTTTGATAAAAATGCCGGAGTTTAAATGTTTTGATACAAATAGCAATAGTTAATCATCGTTGGAATATTACAAAAAGCAACCTAGAAACCTCAAAAAAATCAGTACTGAGACTTATAACATATTAGTTAACCAGGTCCCTGCGTGGGTGGAATCATTAAAGGAAAGAGTTGACAAGCAGACATTTCAAATATCGAAATATTCATCTGTCTTGGCAATGTTGCATAGAACGACCAAGTAATTTGAAATTTGAAATTTTGAAACACACGAAAATTTTCAATTATTTTAATTTTTTCAGCAAAATAAAACGAGCTCAAATTCATTGCAAATGATGCAATGAAAAAATGTACAGCTTGAGAAAGAAGCAAAATCTCGAACATATAAATAATTTTTCGCTCAAAAAGTACTGAATATTGTAGCATATAAGCGATAATTTTCGTTCAACAAATTATGCAAAAAAAAAAAGAAGCCAATTTGTCGGTCGTTAAAAGCTCCGATAATATTTATGTATCCGACAAGCAGAAATACAACTTTCTGATCTTTTCTTTTTCATTTCTGTGATTTCATTGCATCAAATATCACAATATGTACATGTTTAATTTGATATTTAATTATTTAATTTGAAGAATAGTAATAGTTTGAATTTGAGGAGTTTATTATTAACCAATAACAAACTCTTTTTGTCGTTTTTTGGATGTGTCATTTTTGCCGCTCATTGCTAAAACTGATCGAATGTGATGATGTTACAAGAACTAAGAAAGAATTAAAATATTCAAACTTTTTTGTTATTTATAGCGAAAAAAGAAAAAATTTTTATCATATTTGTGAAAATTTTACAAATTTATTATTTCCTCAGGAAAAATTAATATGAAAGATGGGATGCTGCAATCCATTATTTCCATTATAAATAACAAAAAGTTTTGGAAATGATGAGGAAAGAGTTAAGATGCAATATGCAAATACAATAAAAAGCTACTTTAATCAAAATATGTTTAAAAAAGCAGCTATGTCTCGGGCAGTGCAATTTTTTTTTGTCACTTTGATTTAACCTTATTCATATTTCTTCTCATTTCTTACGTGAGAGAAAGCAAGTTGCACTTCTACTAAATTAACTAAATTTGATAAATTAACCAACGTGTGATTAAGCATTGGTTAATTTATCAAATTTATTCGAATTTTTTTTTTCTTTAAATTATGTAAATGGCCAAGAAAGAGCCGAAAACAACAGAAGAAGATGGAACAGAAAATGACACGAATTAAACGATCGTCTTAGATTCAAAACTAAAGCTACAGTTCTCCCTATTTCTTTTCCCAATTCATTCTTTTTCAAAAAAAAAAATCGAAGTATTTAAACTTCTATCCAAAAAGTGCTATTCCTGCCATGCTTTATTATTTTATGACCATAACGGAGGATAAACTGATGGCACAAAAAAAATTATTTTATGATGAATAACAAAATCATAATTGTTCGGAAATGAGTCCAAAAGAAACTTTTCGTCATAAATTTTCTATCTGATTGAAATACTCTTTCAGCAGTTTGTTTTAAATATAAAACTATTAAAATATCAGACTTTCTGATCTTTTACTATTTCAATTATACTTGACCGTTAGAATACTTTTTGCTAAATTGTCTACAAGTATGATGAAAATGAAACTGCAGTAGTTCTGAAATTCAAATTCCACTTGAAATTTTTTTTTCAGTAATACGAGTTAAATTGAATTAATATTTTGCAAACTTGTTCACAAATTTTGAGCATATCTTCAAAAACGAAAGTTTGTGTCTAAAAAAACCGAATCAATTTTTCCAGATTTTTTAAAAACTTTTAAGCATTTTTTCAGAATTCTTAAAGTAACACTTGAAATTTTTTTTAATTTGATGAAAATTTTTAAGTATAGATAAAATTAGTGGCTAACATAAATTGACGTTGCTAACAGTCTCAAAGAAAGAAAAAAATTGGAAAAGAAGTTGATAGTTTTGCAGTTTTCCAACATATTATAAGACATGTGGTTCAAATTTTCTAAATACAAAAGAAATTTTTAATGAAATTTCAGAATAAAAAAGCCGTCTTTTCCTCTTCTTACTATTTAAAATAATCACTTTGACATGGAAATTGCATAAAAACCACTTTTTCTTTCCACTTTTTCCTTCAATGAAATGGTAATCAAAACAATTGCATTTGATACGAATATAAAAAAAAATCTCCGTAAGTGCCACACACAGCGCTTCAATAATATTATAAAATTTAAACAAAAATTTTGAAAAGAAAAAAAGGAAACAGAAATAAATTGGAAAATGCTTATTAGATGTCTGCAGAATGTGGCTTCATAAAGAATAAAACAAGCATTTCGAAAAGAAAAAAAAACAAAAGAAAAATTAGAAACAAAAGGAAGAAGTCGAAGGCTATGCGGCAACAAAAAGAAGTGAATTCTTGAGAAAAAATGTGAGTAAAATTTTTGGGAAAGAAAAATGCCGACAAATTGGTAGATCTCTTCTGGGATGAACAGCAAAAAAAGAAAAAAAATTAACTGCTTAAAGATGGGATATGAATATAAGAAGTTTGTGAGAACTTTCCTTCATTTTGACAAATTATAATAGATTGAAATAGCTTTTGACTATCGGCTCCATAACTTTGAAACATTCTGCTAATAAATCACTCTATTCCAAAATTTAGGTGAATTTTGTTTCTAATCTTTGAAATATTCGTCACATTTCTTCTTGTCTTCTCTGTTGATTAGTTTCTCATTCGAAGCGTTGATAATTAAAGTTTTGCGGAAATTTTACGGAGAATTGGAAATCAAATATTTCGGCAAAGGAAAAATTGAGAGCAAGCATATAAGTAGTATTAATGTCACTTGAACTTTTAGATAATAAGGGTCGCTTAAACAGAGACAACGCAGATCATTTGGAAAGATCCTTTTCAAATCCCTTATTTATCATGTTGTAAATTAAGGGATCGTTTTGTGTAAATTACAGATGGATGGATGAATGGATTGAGGGAACGTGAATGGATAGACGGATAGGTGGATAGACGGATGGATGGACGGAACGGTGAATGGATAGATGGATAGATGGACTGAGGGAACGTGAATGAATGAACGGATGGGTGGACGGAACGGTGAATGGATAGATGGATAGATAAATGAATGGATTGAGGGAACGTGAATGAATGAACGGATGGGTGGACGGAACGGGGAATGGATAGATGGATAGATGGACTGAGGGAACGTGAA